AAGAATCCATCAGAGAACTAATAGAAATAATCAACAACTACAGCAAAGTTGCAAGGTACAAAATCAACTTACAAAAATCAGTTGCATCTCTATACTCTAATAATGAACTAACAGAAAGAGAACTCAAGAATACAATCCCATTTACAATCACAGCAAAAAGAATAAAATATCTAGGAATAAATTTAACCAAGGAGGTGAAAGACCTATACAATGAAAACTATAAGACATTATTCAAAGAAATCGATCATGACATAAAGAAATGGAAAGATATCCCATGTACATGGATTGGAAAAATAAACATAGTTAAAATGTCCATACTACCTAAAGCAATCTACAAATTCAATGCAGTCCCAATCATAATCTCAATGACATTCTTCACAGAAACAGAACAAAGAATCCTAAAATTCATATGGGGCACCAAAAGACCCTGAATAGCTAAAGCAATCCTAAGAAAAAAGAACAAAGCTGGAGGCATCACAATCCCTGTCTTCAAAACATACTACAAAGTGATAGTAATCAAAACAGCATGGTACTGGTACAAAAACAGACACACAGATCAATGGAACAGAATTGAAACCCCAGAAATAAAACCTCACATCTACAGACAGCTAATCTTCAACAAAAGAGCAAAGAACATACAGTCTCTTCAACAAATGGTGCTGGGAAAACTGGACAGCCACTTGCAAAAGAATGAAACTAGACCATCTGCTTTAGCCATACACAAAAATTAACTCAAAATGGATCAAAGACCTGAAGGTGAGACCTGAAACTACAAAACTCCTGGAAGAAAATGTAAGCAGTACAGTATTCGTCATTGGTCATAAAGGGATCTTCTCAAATTCCATGTCTACTCGGACAAGAGAAACAAAAGAAAAAATAAACAAGTGGGACTTCATCAGACTAAAGAGCTTCTGCAAGGCAAATGAAACCAGGATCAAAATGAAAAGACAACCCACCAGCTGGGAGAAAATATTTGCAAACCATATATCCTACAAGGGGTTAATCTCCATAATATATAAAGAACTCACACATCTGAACAACAAAAAAGCAAATAACCTGATCAAAAAATGGGCAGAGGATATGAACAGACATTTTTCTAAGAAAGATATACAGATGGCCAACAGGCATATGAAAAGATGTTCAACATCACTAATCATCAGGGAAATGCAAATCAAAACTACACTAAGATATCACCTTACACCTGTGAAAATGGCTATAATCACCAAGACAAAAAATAACAAATGTTGGAGAGGATGTGGAGAAAAAGGAACCCTCATACACAGCTGGTGGGAATGCAAACTGGTGCAGCCTCTACAGAAAACAGTATGGAGATACCTCAAAAAATTAAAAATAGAAATATCTTATGATCCAGCTATCCCACTTCTGGGTATTTATCCAAAGAACTTGAAATTAACAATCCAAAGAGGCTTATGCACCCCTGTGTTCATTGCAGCATTATTCACTACAGCCAAGATGTGGAAGCAACACAAGTGTCCATCAATATATGATTTGATAAAGAAGATGTGGCATATATATACAATGGAATACTACTCAGCCATAAAAAAAGACAAAATCGTCCCATTTGCAACAACACGGATGGACCTGGAGGGTATTATGTTAAGTGAAATCAGCCAGACAGAGAAAGACAAACACCATATGACCTCTCTCATATGTGGAATATAAACTAACACATGGACAGAGAGAACAGTTTGGTGGTTACTGTTCAGTTTGGGGAGTGGGCACAAGGGGTGAAGGAGTGCATTTATATGGTGACTGACAAATAATAATGTACAACTGGAATCTCACAATGTTATAAACTATTATGACATCAATAAAAAAAAAAAAACAGATGCGGAGAGAGACAGAGGCAAGTGAAGCAGAGAGAGATTCCCCCTCCACCTGTGCTGCAGACCATCTACTTCCTTGCCCCTCCTTCTTCCAGGTCATTCAACTTTTCCTTTTATTTTGTGAGAGAGATTCCAGTCTCCTTACAATTGTTTATTTTACCTAAACTAGTTTGAATTGAGTTTCTGTCACTTGCAACCAAGTGTCCTAATACATTCCTAACCATCCTTGAAGTCCCAACACAAATACTACTCCTTTGTGAAGCCTTCCCTGACTCTCCCAAGTGGACAAGGATGTCCCTTCCTTTATGCCTTCCTGTATTTATAACACCAGACCCCTTTTTTAGCCATTATCTTTGTGATCTTTGGTGTGAAGAACAGTGTGTTCTGTCTTTGACTGTTTTGATTATTCCATTTATCACCCCGCTGGGAAGGGAACGTTAGGACATAACAACGCATTGACATTATAATCTAAGAGAAGTCAATATTTAGCAATAAAAAGCTTTAAGTTTTAGCTGCTCCACTATGAAGAATTTTTTAAAACTAAGCTTAATCCTAAGATGAACTTTAAGAATCTACCAGCTACAAGAACTCTCCTCTGCTGCCCAATCAGGATGGAACCAGAAATGGAGAGGTTCATGGCCATGACCCCACAAACAGCAGCCACCAAGATGGAGGCAGCTGCTGGAGATGCGGGCAGAAAAGACTGAGGAGCACATGGAGGGGAGGGTCAGAGAAAAAAGGGAGGTCTGAGAGAAAAGGGACCCTGGGAGTCCCATCTGTCACTGAATCTCTGTGAATTGAAAGGCAACTCCATAAAGAAATGTTTTCCACCATCCGTGAACTTCCATCCATGACCATACTTGGCTAAATAAGATTGAATTCTTTTAGGTAACTGATTGAAACGATGCATCTTTTCAGGTTTTACTAAGCGTCACGGGGTCACATATGTTTGCATATTTATCTCATTTCTAGACTAGAAGCTCCTTTACAAAAGAGATTCCGTCAGTCTTTGCATGCTAAGCATCAGCATCTAGCCCACTCTTGAGTTAGACTTTGATGCTTATAGTCTATATTTAAGTTAGGAATGCTTTCCAGCTGCAAGTATCAGAATAACCAGCTATAGTGGCTCAAGCAGTAAGACATTTAATTATCTGACATGAAAAGTCTGGATATTGGCAGTCCCAAGGTATGATGCTCCATGATGGCAAAAGGACCCAGGCTCTTTCTGCTATTCCCTGCTTGGCTTTTTGGCTTTATCTTAGGCTTATTGCCTTATGAATGCAAGATGGTTGCCACAGCTCCAGGTATTTCAACTTCAGAAAAGAATGTTCAAGGAAGGAAGGAAGTGGACTAGGCTGGGAGGAGGCTTTCCTTTATATCAGGGAGGAATATTTTTCTCAAACACCCCCTCCTCCGCATCTGGTAAACTTCCCCTTAGATTTTATTGGCTAGACCTGAGCCACATGGCCATCCCTAGCTGAAGACAGGCTGGGGAAACTAGTTCAGTACATGACTTTTCCAGCCTTAACAGTGATAAATAGTTGTATTACTGGCAGTATTGCCCTTAGACCAGGCAAATGGGGCGCTGGCCCAGGCCCCGGGCCTCAGAGGCCTATCTTCTCGAATGCCTTCCTCACAATTTTCCTCTTTTATGCTTGAGACTGGCCGAGGCTGACACTGCTGTCTGGGTGGGGTACCTTGAGCCTGGGTCAGGACCCAGATGTGCCTTTCCCCACCCATTACCATTTCTTCTCTTCGAGGCACTCTTGGATCCTCTATTCTGCACAAGGAATTGATCAGAGGCCCCAGGAGCTCTTGGATTCATATCTATGGGATCTTTTGAGTACCCTGTGCCTGGATCCTCCATCTGGGAGGGTGAGCTGGAGCTTAGATTGCCTCACTGGCCTGTGCACTATCTCTTTTGCAGGGCTGCACAAGATTGGGCTGCTAGCATGGCTGGCACGCTGGTTTTGAATGACTCATTCACACCATATATGGGATGAATTCAGGGCTCTGGACTGCTGAGAGTCCACTGCTGAATTTTGGCTTGCGCTGCATGTGTGGGCCCATGCGTTGGTCTTCAGCGGCCATATTCCAGCTGCAGTGTTGCCTCTGGTCTACCTGAGGGCAGCTGGGGTGGGGCAGGAAGTCTTCACTCTGTGCTGGCATCCAGGGCAGTTACCCCCTCCTCTCCACGGGGTGGCCACACCTGTTTCCTCCCAGGGCTTTCCAGATCATTGCTCCACAATGCCAACAGGCCCTTCTGGCTGATGTCCTCTCTTGCCTCTGACCAATGTGGTGACCTCATGGTCTTCCTGGTCAGTCTCCAACCACGTAGACAAGGGATGGACATTCCTTGTGTGAATGACACAGCTCTTTTCGTCCCTCCTTACTGTCTTTCCCACCCGTGGTGGTGTGTGGCAGGCAGGGGTGTGGTCGACATCGAAAGAGATCGCATTCCAGGCACGAAGTGATCAGAACCTAGAGCATTTAAGGCAAGACCTGGTTGGAAGATGTGTTCTTCTACCTGATCAGGTTGCTGTGAGATTCAAATGAGATTATACACCTGGAACCCTTTGTAATCTACACAATTGTACACAGAGATTAGTTATGTTTACTAGTCCCATTTGGGAGATTAGAAAACGAAAGAAGAGGAAAGTTCAGTGACCCCCCCCAAGATGAAGATGCACCATGGGAGTACTGTTGGGAGGGAGAACTCTGATTTCAGATGGCCTGAGACTGACACTCAGCTTTGCCAACTCCTAGCTGTGTGATCCTGGGTCAATTTCTGAGCCCTGGTTCCATATTTATAAAGTGGGGATAATAATACACCTATGTCAGAGGTTTTGGTGAGCATTAAGTGAGGAGATGCCTATAAATAATTCTGCTCTGTGCCTGGCACATAGTTATTATTATTTTACTACACAGATCCATTATTATTATTTTACTACACAGATATTTGCAGCAGGGCTACAGGTCTCCTGGGTCTCACCCCTGCTCTGCACTAGAAATGAGTTATGAGAAAATATTTTCACAGTGAGCTTGCCAGAGGTTGCAGTGACATGTTAGAGTATCTGGCATTTGAAAGACAATATGGTAGGTGGATAAGAGCACAGACTTGGGAGCCAGAAGGCCTGGCGCAGTCACTTAATAGTTGTGGGACTCTTGCAAGCTACTTAGCCTCTCTGTGCCTCAGTTTCTTCATCTCTACAATGGGTTCTTGTGAGGAGTGAATGAGTTAATGTACATCAAGTGTTTAGGACGGTGCCTGGCACATAGTATTAGGAATTATTAGATACTATTAATATTATGATTTTATTTATTTATTTATTATAATTTTATTTATTTATTTATTTTTCCCCCCCAAAGCCCCAGTAGATAGTTGTATGTCATAGCTGCACATCCTTCTAGTTGCTGTATGTGGGATGCGGCCTCAGCATGGCAGGAGAAGTGGTGCTTCGGTGTGCGCCCGGGATCCGAACCCGGGCCGCCAGCAGCAGAGTGCGCGCACTCAACCGCTAAGCCACGGAGCTGGCCCCAATATTATGATTTTAAATTCAAGTTAAAAATAAAATTTGTTCTTAAAAATTCCAAATGGCTTCTATTTCAAGGGGCCTGCATTTTAGAGACTGGAGGAGAGAAAAGGGCACAGAGATATACTGTGTGTCTCTGTGCCCTTATCTGAGATGTTCCCTGTGCCCGAAATCCCTCCTTTTTGACCCAGAGAACCACCACATGTTCTCTACTCCCTAGGGGCCAGGGCTCATTCTCTGATGCTCCCGTCCCTCAAACAGGACTCCTCTCTCCCTTTTACACATCTGTGTACTTCCTGACATCCTCAGTGAATATTTCTTCAATGGAAAGGTGAAACAGAGTAAGGGGGATGATTTTAAACTCTTGTAGTTTGCAGACAAATACAGAACTATAGTTCATAGTGGAACTAACGTCCTCCCCCTCAGAGGATGAAGGGGTTGGTGGAGGACTTACAGAGATGGTGCTTCTCAACACTAGGAGGAAAAAACACAAATTATAACAAAAAATCCAATCTTTGGGGCCTGCCTGGCAGCGTAGTGGTTAGGTTCGCGTGCTCCGCTTCGGCGGCCCTGGGCTCATGAGTTCGGATCCCAGGAGCGTACCTATGCACTGCTCATCAAGCCATGCTGTGGCGGCGTCCCACATATAAAGTGGAGGAAGACAGGCACGGAAGTTATCTCAGGGCCAATCTTCCTCACACACACACACACACACACACACACACACACACAAATCCAATCTTTAACTAGAAAGAGCTCCAGCCCCCATGTCTGCATCCTCCTGGGTTGCAGAAGAGGCAGTATGGTAGAGGGAACCAGGATGGGCTGTGGACGCAGGAAAGCCTCGTCTGAGTCCTAATTCTATCATCCAACGGCTGTTTGGCCTTCAAACCAAACATCTCTGCACCTATTTTCTCACCTATCATATGAGGGTAATACCAGCCTCAAGAGGTAATTTTGATGATGAAATGAGATAATAGTGCAATGCCTGGCACTTAGAAAATGCTTAATTAATGTTTGTTAAGTGAATGAAGAGGGCTTCGCTGTTGGATGAAGCTGTGTTATCCTTGACAGCACAGCGTTGCTCAATGTTGTCTACTGCTCGTCATGATCAGCGTACCACTCTCCAAATCATCACAGAGGCCTGCACACAGCTTCTCAGACTCTCAATCTGAGGTTAATCTGCAATTAAGAAGCCCAGGCAGGCAGGAATTTGGCAAACCCCTTCCCCAAACCCGTCTCCTCTCCAGCTGGCACAGAAAACACTCCACGTTTGCAGCTTCCATGGCGATGATGAGAACCTACTCCCTTTTATTGTTTTTCTTTTCCTAACGATGGAGCAATCACATGATTTCAACAGGAAAAACAACTCTGGGATCGGAGACCGTCTGGATGGAGCCATGACTTTCTGGTCTCGGTGTCTGAGCCCCTGGAGAGAAAAGACACTGGATGCTGGCAGGAGGATGAGCTGGACAAGGAGGATGGCCAGCACATGCTTGTACCAGGCTGGCCAAGTGAGCAGGTTGCATTTCAGGATTAAAAACAGCACAATCCTAACAAACTAGGAGCTCATTATTCACCGAGTGCTAAGGACCAGCCCCTTTACAGGCATTGTCAGGCTTGGTCATCAGAACAATCTAAGAGAAGCATTTATTAGTGAGGAGAATGAGGCTCAGAGAGGTTAAGAGGTCCCTCAGGAACACACAGGAGTCAGGGGCTTTGCCACATTCCACCCCTTTTTCAAGCTACCAGAGTCTGTGCGTTTATCTCCTAACCCCCGTCTACAGCAACGTTTCCAAACCCCTAAAGTGCTCACAAATCTCCTGGGACCTTGTGGAACTGAAGATTCTGATTTACTACGTCTGGGGTGGGGCCTGAGACTCTGCATTTCTAACAAGCTTCCAGGGGATGCTGCTGGTCCAGGGACATTAGTTGCAAGGGTTAGACCGGTGGTCTCGACCTTGGCTGCACACTGGAATCACCTGGGAGATTTCAGAACGCTGATGCCTAGGCCCCATCCCAGAGAGTCCAATTTTGGAGGTCTGGGGTGCAGCCCGGGCAGAGGACTCCTAAAGCTCCCCGCGAATGAATGTGTCACCAGGGCTGCGACTGCCGTTCTGGAGGGAGGCAATGTCTGCAGGCTCCTCGGGAAGCAGGTCACCCTGCGCCCCCCTTTCCCGACCGCAGGGGCGTCTGTGGCTGGGCTTTGAGGTCACCGTCGAAGAGGCCTCGCTCAGCAAACTCCCAGCCTGGAAGAGGCCAGAGCCGCCACCTGTTTCCTTGAAATAGTTCGCAGCTGTGCCGGGTGACCTCACTGCTCTGGCTCTGCTACCGGCCAAGCTGCCATCTGGAAAGACTTCTTCCCAAGTCGTGTACTCAAGTCGCCTTCGGGCTCCCCCGTGCGTCGGGGCAGCGGAGGGGGAAGAACCGAAGCTGCGGGGCCAGGGCAGAGCCATGACAGGGCTCCTGGGAAGGACCTGCCCCAGCCCGGGGACCCCACGATGGGCCGCCCCCCGGGCTGCGAGACTTAGGCTGTGTGAGCGCAGCTGACGCCTCCCTTCCCTGCGTCCCCTCCCAACACTTGGGAACTGATGAAATCAGGAGGGGTGCTCCTCCTCCTCCCTTTAAATGATGGATAAACAAACACTGAAGTATGTAAGTAAAAATGGCAAGTCCTCTTCACCTTACACCTCCCAGAGGCAACCACAGGGAGCAGTTGGGTGCATATCCATCCAAACCTCTCCTATGCCTAAATATGTATATTTATACATTCATACATATGTAATAGTTTTATAAACAAAAATCATCATGTAATATTCTGAACACTATCTTGGCTATCTTTTCCATGTAGTTACATAACTTATAAATTATTTTGGTGTGTCTCAAACTTGTCTGGAAATCAGAATCTCTTGGGAGCACTTTGTAAACACAGAGGTTGACAAGTCTCATCCCGGACCTACTAAGTCAGAAGTTCTCAGAGAGAGGCCTGAGAAAGTTTTTTGGATTGGTATTTTTAATGTGTCTCAGGTGGTTCTTTTGTTAAAATTAAAAAAAAAAGTTATTGGGATACAATTGACATGTGACATTGTCTTAGTTTTAGGTGTACAACATCTCACGTGGTTCTTACGGAAAATGTCTTGCCTTTTTTTTTTTGAGGAAGATTGGCCCTGAGTAACATCCGTTGCCAATCTTCCTCCTTTTTTTTCCCCCTTTTTTCTCCCCAAAGCCCCAGTAGATAGTTATATGTCATAGCTGTACATCATTTTAGTTGCTTTATGTGAGATGCCGCCTCAGCATGGCTTAATGAGCAGCACCTAGGTCCGTGCCCAGGATCCAAGCCAGCGAACCCCAGGCCACCAAAGCAGAGCACACGAACTTAACTGCTACAGCACCAGGCGGGCCCACTGTCTTACCTTTTTAATGGTTGCACATGTCCGATATAAGGGGGAACTATCATTTATTAGCCAGTCCCCAACTGTTGAACATTTAGGTTGTTTCCAGCTTCTTTCTTCATGCCACAAACAATACTACAAACACACACACATTGTACAGATACCCGTGTGTGTTTCTATAGGATGGTTTCCAAGGAGTGGAAGAACTAAGTCCCAGGCTTACCTGGAACTTCTTTTCCCTCTAAGATGTTCATGTTTGCATCTTGGAACCTCACAGCAAGACAGAAACTGGAAACCGGTGTAGCCTAGACCAGTACTGTCCAATGGGAATATAATGTGAGTCCATACATCATTTTAAATTTTCAGTAGCTACATTCACTTTAATAATATATTTTATTTAACCTGATATATCAAAAATATTATCTCCACATATAATCAAATAAAAAATATTAATGAACTATTTTATATCTATTTTTCACTTACGTCTTCGAAAATTACGTGAATTTTACACTTCACAGCACACCTCACCTCGGACTAGCCACAGTTCAAGTGTTCAATAGTCACATGGAGCAAATAGTATTGTACTGGACAGCACAGATCTAGACGTTTCATTTACTTGGGAGATGTTTATAGGCGACAAGGAGCAGCTGCTATCTACTTGCCCCCAAGAGGCACTTATCCATTATTTTTAACTGCTCACAAAGAAGCTCGAGGGTGAGAGGGGGGAGATTTTTGCAGAGGATTATGCTGAAGGATACTTTAGGTTAAAGACATTTTCTCTTCAGAACAACTGTATAAGGAAGGTAATTTCATGTTATTTCAACTTGACGTTGATAATTTATGAAGATTACACAGCCAACAAATGTAGAGGCAGAACAGGAATCACGTCTTCAGATTCCAGGACCTATGCTTTTCTTTTATCCCATAGATATCTCCAAGACAGTTATTCAAAGTCTATCTTATGTTAGTGGTGCTGGGAGAGCTGTTAACAAATTAAGTGAATTATTAAAAGTCACGTCTTCAATCTAATCTAAATGGTGTGCCGTTCAGCAGACTCATGGTTAAAAACATGTGCGCTGGCGCCCCCTGGTGGAAATCGAAGTCATTGCAAGCCGCTGGTGAAGGGTGTGCGTGGGCCTTCCTAGTTCAATAACTGGATATACAAAAGCATGACTATTACGTGGAGGTCCCTGAAATTTAAAAAAAAAAAAAAATTTTACTCCTCATACTAGGAAAAAT